AAATGAATAGCTTTCAAATTTCATATAGTGAAATCAGTTGGAAATCTCTGAATTGAGGACCAAGAAACTTTGCGTCTTTCAAAAAAAACGCAAACTCAAATTTGGCCCGTGAAGGGCAAAAAGTTGAGCTATTTCGAGGTATTTTTTCTCTCCCTTCTTCCGCAAACGATTTTCGCTTAGTCACAATCCTTTCTAATCCTCTGAACGCCATTTCAAAAACGTTTTCCCCTTGCCGGTCAGTTTAATGAGAGAAATGCATTTCAATTTCCTCAAAAGCCGACTAGCATAAAAAGGAATTCCAGCTATCAAACGGCGTCGCTGGGCCCAATTCCCACAAAATCGTAGTAAATTTTTATTGAAATTGCATTCAGCGGTCGTAAAAGTTTTCATTCTATCGGTTTCCTTTGCATTCACAATTTCTGTGGCTGAAAGGACGATAGAAGAAGCAATTGTTGTCAATTCAAGAGCCCTTTCTGGTCTGATTCCTGATTTTGACTTCTGAAACAGGGTTAGCCCTTCTGTACGCTTTTCTCCTCAAATGGCCCTATTTGTATTTTTTTTTTGGAAGGAATCGTTTTGAGGGAATCGTGGAAGGTGATGTGATGGGTTGTATTTTGAGATAGCTGAAACAGAGAGATTTTTAGAAAGTGGGAGTTTTTTTTTTGCAATATTTTCCACAGAGCTCATGGAAGAAACTCAGGAAGCTTTTAGAAATGAGGTAGCTTTGTTGTAGGAATACCGGAAGTCGCTAGGAGACCGAGATGTATGAGGAGTTTCAGAAAGGTGGGAAGAGTTTTTTGACTTTCAAAAATCTTCCTCGCAGGGTAACTCCAACATCGAGTAGCGAGCTAAGAGCGTGCCTTGTTCCTGGTTCATGTGAGTGTTGACGTTTCTATGTAGTGATTTATCAATACTACGTCATCTATTCGACGAACTGCAGGTTCTCTCGCCGGCTTTTTGAGCTACAGGCTCTCTACAAGCTCTCAACGGGGCCGGAAATCCAGTTTCCTCCTAGTACATACGCTTTTTGTAACTGCCTACTCATTGAAAGTTATTCTTCAAGACTAAAAAGCAAAGGCAGTGAGTGTAAGAGCTCTGTCGCGATTGAATGTCTTGAACTAAATCCTTGCATTCAAGAGTGATGACGCACGGGGAATTTCGAAGTACATTGACATACATATTTCCCTGCCTAACCCACATGCTATTTTTCCTTGCCTTCATCTTCATTATCCACAAGAATCCGCCAGTCAGCGGTCACGCTACGCTGATGGTACATAGCATGAGCGCGAAGCATCATGTCTCCTATGAACCTTTGAAATCAAAATTGTTTATATGCTTCTCTAGTATGGCTGAATATTGGAGTGCAGAAGCACCGACTGAGGCAGAGCGCTGCCTTTGTCTGGTGTTGAGGGATTGGTGACATTTGACCCTGGGTGAATCGTGATGAAGTCCTCAAAGCAATGGATTCCACTGGAGTGAATCATTGCGATTTTACATGAGAATAAACAAAAATATACCTGGTCACCTTTTTCCTTACCTTCAACTTCATTTCCACCAAAAATCCCACCAGTCAGCGTCAGGCTACGCAGATTACATAACGTGGTGGAAAAGATCCTCTCACATCCTTCCCAAAAATTCTTCAAAATTATAATCGGTTATTATTCTTTGGCTAGACAGGCTACATTGGGGCAGAAACCTCCTTTTAAACAGAGTTACCTTTGCCCCTTCCAAAAGCTCTTCGGCATTTGACCCTAGCTGAATCGCGGGTGAAGTCGCAATAGCATTGGATTCCTTTGAGTGGATCTTACACAAGTATTATGCGTAATGAGGAAGAATAAAAATAGTGGCTTCAATTTGGGCTGGCTTTGCAGGTATCAGCGCAGTACAATTCGATACGCATTCAATACCTCTATGATTCCGAATAGATTACGTGGTGACTTAAGGGCTGAGGACCCATGCCTCTAAACCTATGCGGTCTTTATTTATTAGGCTCGTATCCAGTGACGTAGCACATGTATTCACCACAAACTTTTGGAACAAAGCATAAAAATTTAAAACTAATCAGCGATGTCCTCTCATTGTTATGTCTCATTATTTACGTTTTCAATTCCGTTTTGCAAGAAATCACGAAACTAACTCGGAAAAAAGGGATTAAGCCCACCTTGCGATGTCCTCATTTTCCAGAATTTGTACTCCACTAACTAGCTTGAAATTCAGCGAAAAGGGTATAGCCGCTTGGAGGAAGGTCCGATGAGTACGATAAATTTAGGAGTTTTCGCTTTGGTAGCTTTTGTCTCAATGAACTGAAAATAGCAGCTGTTGAAAACTCCGATATCTGCCTCCTGGATTTTGGAAATTGTTTTTATTTTCATTTTTTAGGAGGTTACAATTTTACAAATCATAGTGTGAAAGAGAATCAAAAATACAGTATTGTAGACTAGAAGAAGTGCTTTCAAATTCCTTGAAAAGTAGGTATTCCGGAAGAAAATGTAACAACATAAATGGTTATGGGACGCCTTCGGAAAACATTTTCTCGCTTTTCATACCTTTTTTTTGCTTCATTAGGAGAGAACTCCTGCACTCGCAGCCTCGTTTTACTTTTCACTGATAATGACTCGATCCAGTTCTCGTTTTACTTTACATTATTCCTTTTTCACACTGCCAGTAATGCTATAAAATGTGATTGATTGGGGTGCGGAATAAACCAACTAACATAAACTATCTATCTTTGGAATTCCTATGAGTCATGAGAGGGTCGCACTGTTCTACCTATTGGTATTTGTACCGAGTTACAGGGCACCATTACTCAGGGGGTAAGCCTTACCAGGAAGGATGGTTGGTCGAAGTGGCCATATGTAAAGAGACCTACACCACTGGATGCGTTTTTGGACGCTGATCTCGAATCTGCTTTCCAAATCTGCCAAACGATTTTCCGAATGGAGTTATGAAGGAAAGTAGTGCAGCGGTAGTAGTCCGGGTTCACGAGACGTCGTAGGATCGATTCCCTGGCGGGTTCTCTTTTTTGCCTTCGCTGCAAAATGATTGAAAAAGGCTCCCAACTACCTTACTCGATCAATGCTTGCCTGTAGTTACCCGTGCAAAGACTTTGCGAGGAGTTTCTAATCAGTTTCGGCGGTACTTACTAAAGACTGCACATGGAGCCCACAGAACTCTTGGCAGACGTTTTTGCAGCAAACAAGTGTGATATTCGTGTTCCGGAGATTAAAATACCCCTAGGGACAAGTTTGTAGCCAAATTTGAGATTTCGACCAAATTTCGAAATAAGCTGGGTGGGTATCTATCCATTCATCCATCAGCCTATCATCGAAGCCTATATAGCCTTGAGACGATATAAGTTTTTTTTGGTTTCTGAAGAGTGTAAAGCAGTGTCTGGTTTTCTGTTCGCATGATTTCAACACCCACATTTTATTATTTTCAAATTTAAAGGGTCGCCGTCGTCCTCCAAAATAGGTCAACCCTGGAACTACCGGCTATGGATATGTAGCATCAATGAGTGACTCGCCCACTTTTTTTGAAGTTAATTCAAAATCTCGAATTTTTCTAGAAATTGGCCCCAGTTATTGGACTACTTGAACACAGATCTCAACAACAGCACAGATCTCTGATTTCGTTCACTCAAAAACGGCTGAAGCGCGCTCCGTATACTGGCGCGCCTTAACCTTATGTAGTGGCATGCATGCAAGTTAGGAAAAATTTCGAAGTTATCGACCTCAAACTCATCCAAAAGCAAGTAGGGCTGACCAATGATGAAGGAATCATGTTTCACTACTGCCAAATAGTCAGTCACAAAAATGCAAAAGGAAAAATTCATATTTTTAGAATTACTTGTACCAAGCAACCAATCCACGACCCAGGATTTGATCCCCGGGCCGCTCGGGTGATAAGCGTGCTACTTGCCACTACACCACTTCTGTCCAGAGTAATATTCCCAACAACATTCCGAATGAAAACCGATCCATGGCGCACTCCGCAAGAGCTCCTCACCATGCATTCTGTTAGGTCATTTTATATTTTTTGAAGGCTAGAGCTAGAATTACCCTGATAAGGTTTGCTTTCACAAGACGCCATCCGATTTTGCGGAACGCGAACGGCGTTCACCGCGCTCGATTTCCGCAATGTTTATATTGTTGCTCGGTTGAGGCGTAGATTTATCGCCGCCGGACTGTCAAGTGGTCCATGCGTGGGCAAAGCAGGATCATTAGAGGGTCAGTCGGAACTCATTTGAGGGCAATTCATGCAGGAAGGCAACAAGGTCGCGATGTTATTGTGATTGCCAATCCGCTACGCGGCGTTGATTGGAGGCAAGTATTGATGGAGGCACGAGTGCTGTTTCGCTATTGTGAAGGAGTAAAAGGGTTTTGAGGTGTCTATAGCACACCTCTTTCGATTTCCGTTTTCCGATAAATTCGAAAGCCACGACAGCATATTGGGTTAGACTTATCTTTATTGGCTATTAGCGCATAATTATTGTAGTGGCAAGTTCACCATGCGCATGGTCCGGGCATCAAGTCCTGGGCAGCACGCCATTCAGGCCAGCCAAGCATTCCACCCCTCCTGAGTCCTATAATTGATAGTACACTATCACTATTCTGGGAGGGTAAAAGCATAGACTTGTTCATCGGCTGACCCTGCCTCATTAAGCTAAATCGTATTCAACATGCCACCACGATTCTGAATGCAAATGAACCCATGCCGACAACCATGGCGCATTCTAAAAAAGAGAGTGGTCAACGCCGTATGCTCCAATCTTTACGCCTTTCGACTCTTTCTCGTTTTTTTCACTTTTTTTCGATTTTTTATTGGGATTTTTCTAAACGCTACTTTCCTTTAAAGTCGCCGTATAGGTCAAAATCCAACAGATTCGTATACGATATCGATTTACCAAATTCCACGCGACGTGACCAAAGTATAGCAGCGTGTTTGACTTTTCGGTGTTTGTTTTTTCGAAGTCTCTCGCGCCAAATGACGAATAATTTCAGATCGAGGTCGAGACAATCTCTGGGCAGCTGGTGGTGACACGAGTGAATGCGGCCGCAAATCATGACATCCATCCAGGCGATACTATCACCCATGTGAATGGCAGAGCTGCTGTGGATCGAAATGCGATTAGCGGTCTGAATGGCAGAATAACGCTCACACTGGTGCCAGCGGCAATTCACAGTGCTCCTTCGGTGGGCTTAATCGTTTTTTTTTGCGTTTGTCCAAGGTTATAAGGCTTTTCTTGTGCAGGTTTTCTATCGCGTGAATGCTGACTACAATTCGGATTTGGATGAGTCAAGAATATGTCGTTGGTTGTCGATTGATGTGAAGAAAGGAGATGTTGTGCAAATTATGAGTCAGGATGATAACTGGATTCAGGTTTGTTTACCTGAACATTTGTTTTTGGTCCTTTCTGACTTACCGTCTTGTAGCTTTATAAATCTGAGATTTCGCTTCTTTTGCTCTTCTATTAATTTCGTTCCTAACCCTGATGCCGCTCGAATCTGTTTTTAGACTGCTTTTTCACGTAGTCGCATTGTTATGACGCGCCTTCAGAGTACATAGGTTAATAAAAGAATAAACAAATCTATAGATAAATAAACAATATATTTATCGCGAAGAATTCTCCAACTTCTCTCTTCTTGTAACCTCGGCATGTCAGTTGTAAGTTTAATAAATTTCTTGTGCCTTACGAGGTTGTTCGGTGGAACTTTTATTAGTGGCCCAACGTTTCGACTGAATTGTCGTCGTCTTCAGAACTGTCCTTACATAAGGAGACAGTACGGTATTCTTCAGTTTTAACTGATCAGCGCTCTGTGTGGCAGCGGACTTTTCCGCTCGAAGGGTGGAACCGACGGTGAGTTTATTTCTTGCGCTGTCCTGATCTTCTCGAGGGGTTTCTGACACGATGTCGAAACCGCTAGAGTTGATGAGGCGCTTGGTGGTGTAGAGCGTAAGTCTAACGCTTGAAACACGTTCAGGCCTCTGAAGACGACGATTCAGTCGAAACGTTAGGCCATTAATAAAAGTTCCACCGAACAACCTCGTAAGGCACAAGAAATTTATTAACTTAATATATTTATCGTTCGATTAGTTGAGCCGTTGGTTAGCCACTTCTCCTCTCCTCCCTCCGGTCCTCCTATGGCTAAGTTCCAATCATCTATCCAAAGTGCACGCTTGTCACCCGGATATTTGTATCAAGGTTAACTTTTGCAGATACGACCCCTTCCATTCCTTCCTCACGCCTTCCATCGTTACAACACCTGACATTTTAGAGCAGTGGTAGGAATGTATTAGCATCGATGAAAGGGGCGTGGAAGTTAGACATGGTTTGAGGCTTTTGAAAAATCTGCGTGAATTTCCAATATCATATTTTCGGAAATTCTTTGAGTTCTCTGAAGATACGATATTAGAAATTCATGTGAATGCTCTCTAAAAGTTCTTTAAAAATCTTACTGAGCTATCAGTTCTCCGCTCTCTCCCTGCGCGGTTTCGGTTTCGCAGGCTTGGCCGTTATTTGCATACACGCTAGCGTTAATTTGAGTTGTCCTAGCGTGAAATCATGGTTCATTAGGTAAGATTATGCCTTAATGAGACCTGAATAATATTCTGATGAGGTCCCAGCACAACGTCCTTATTAACGTGTTCTTTTTTTCAATTTAATTCCTTTAATAATGAAAATTTTGGCTGAATAGGCTCTTTGAACCATTTTAATTCTTGAATCTGTGACCTAATAGGTTCTTTAGAGAACTGGCATCAATTCATTTATATCTAAACTTCCGGCTGTTTCAGGCTCGTAAAGTCAATGATCTGTCTCGAGTGGGCTACCTGCCAGCGTCTTTATCCAAAGAAAAGGTAGGTTTGCAAGCCCCTCTACGACGTCATATCCACTTACGCATATCCACTTACTGGCTTTTAGGGTAGCCATGTTGTGTCCGTTTTGAGTCGTCGATACTTGTCCGCCATAAGCAGAGACTATAGAGTAAGCGGGCGACGACATTAAGTAAAAAATGTTATTACGCGGGCTGCTCCGCAGTATTTTGCCACTGTTGTTCCTTGTAAGTTTGCTTCGTTTACATTTGCGTAAACTTTTTATCTTTATTCATTTTTCTCTATTTCGTTGTTCATGATATTTTTCGTTACTTTCTTCAATTTAAATATCTGGAACCTCTGAGACAATGTAGCAATGCTAGAAGCAGAGATGAGCTTGAGAAACAACAAGATAAATAACGCCTAATCTGTACTCCCAGCAAATCATGTATAGCCCAAGCCGCATTAAAACACTATGTCTGAAGTGAAGTAGGATGCGTGGCGCATCCCAAAACGAATCGATTACAGCCGAATGCTTTCCTGTTTCTCCTTTCTATCCGCCTGTTTGGACGAAGGTCAGAGCAGTGAGTTTAGGTAGCAGTATCGCGACAATACAATCATCTGTAAATCGGATTCTTCTCAGGCTCGCAAAGTGTGCCATTCATCCTGGGGTTTTTGATTGACGACAGACTTCTTTGAAAGGAGAAAAACCCTGATTCAAATCTCTCCGAAATCTACGAGCTACAATGAAGATAAAGAAACAGATATATGAATATATAGCTATAACTACAATCGACTAATTTGAACAAAGCCTCTTGAAAAGACCGAGGAATCGCGCGTGGAGAAATGGTAGTCGAAAGTAAATGGCTGACCGCACTTTGTATTGGGCGACCAGACTGGAAAGTGTTCCCTCTTGGGACGTACTTACCAGTAACTCAGGTTTCTTTTTTGCGACAATACATGTTTTTCGTCTAGGCATATTCTCTAATGCTCAATCTCACACGCAGAGTCTAGCGCAGATCCAGCATACAGTCACTTTTCTTATTACTCTATTCTGTGAGATTCCTCACCTAAGCAAACATGAACATGTAAAAAAAAAGAAGACAAGCAACAAGCCTGAGCTCCTCTCTTGGATATGCCACACCCTCTATTTCTTTTCATCAATCTAGACGGGGTTTGAAATTCGCTCTTGAAGGTTGCGAATCGTTCCAATACACCTTAGGGCAATGCTGATGGGCGAACCATACAACGCTTTCTAATATGCTCATAAATATACGTACAAACATCAAAGCGAGACCTTGCCCATAGGAATTGAGAGCGCTGATCTTGGCAAATATTCTAGGAGCAGCGTGTGAACCCATTGGAAGGACTGACAGGCATCCACTTGAAGCTTTACCGATATTTTATTCACACTAAAAATTTGCAGCGTCAACCATCTTCTCTTATAGCTTACTGCCGAAGCTAAGACTCACTTGGGTAACCCACAATGATTGACAGCTCCCCATACTCATTCATCTAATATGTCTAACTTACCTGCTCCTCTACTCTTTTGCCCACTTCCACTCACGTCCGATTGCCTTGCCTCTCTTCGCTGAACGCTAGTGCCCATGAAGAACTAACACACAGTAAACTAATAAACTACATAAAATAATTAAATCAAATAAGGCGTCTGCAGATAAGAGATAATACTTCGGATTAAGGGAGATGTTCGCGACGAACCCCATGGGACGAATGAGAAACTTACGTTACGGAGAGCTACCCAATCCACTACGTTGTCACTTCAGGGTCAGGGGCGCCTTATCAGTGGTGTGATTAGGGCTGGAACCCACTTTCGGTATGCAGCACCACCTACCATCGCAATGTGTCAACACTTGCCCAATAGCACACCGTTAATTCGAAACTATTCCGTATCGCCCAAATTTCTCACTCTGGAGATACAACATCAATACAACACACAGAAGATAGTATCCTTGTTATCTTATCGTCTTCTTCATGGGTCCGTATGCTCGTCCAGCTCCAAGCTCCTCTATCATAGGAATCTCGCCCGGTTGATACCGGACGCAGTACGGTGCTGCCGCTCCACTCCGAAGCCACGGCGAATAGCTTTCTGTAACAACGCTCAGTCCTAAGGTAGAGCAGGAACTATGGAAAAAAATGAAAATTCGCTAATCGCCATTGGAGCTGGCCCTTTACGCCGCGAAAGTCCCGGTTATCAAACAAAGAGATGTTTTACGCGGTGTTAAATATACTTCCAACTCACAAGGCCCGACACGTCGTAGCTGCGAGAAATCGCGCGCAAACGGAGCAAACGAACGTTCAATAGGTAGCCTTCTCGTTCCCAAAAGCGAAAATGTCGGTGCAGCACCATGCCCAGGACGACGGCCTCCTCAAAAAGGTGGTGAATGTTTTCCGGCAATGAAAATGCTTAGCCTGTAAGCGCTCTAGTTCTATCGAATGTCACTAATTACAACTATCATTTACCAGAAATCAGCTATCACTATGAACAACTTCTAACCAGATTACTTGGAGGCCGTCGTCAGATGTCATGTTTGGTCTGCACCCGACACTTTCTCGCCTCTTGAAGGGAGGTTAGATAATGTGGTGAAAAAAGAATGAAAAAATGGTAAATAATCTCATTCGCGAATCTCTTTTTTGACTCTATACATCGTGAGTTTTTTTTCTCTATCTTATAAATAAAGTCTCCGTACAATTCTTCGCCAGTTTCTGTTCAGTGACTTCGAGACAAGCTCGTCCAGGCGAACAAGAAGGTCGTGAGTATAACTTCGTAACAAAAGAGGAAATGTTGCGGAAAATTCGAGAAGGCGGTATGGTCGAATGGGGCGAACTGGATGGCCAACTTTACGGTACGATATTCACTGAAATTCTGAGCTTTTGATAATGGTATGCGTTGTTGTTGCAGGTACTTGTGCTGATTCGGTTCGATCAGTTGTACGAAGTGGGCGAATGTGTGTGCTGGACTGTGCACCACAAGCGCTGTCACATCTCTACAATTCTGAATTCATGCCATTCGTGGTCCACATCATTCCGCACACTGAGGAAATTCTTCAAAGCAATTGAAAAATTCTACGACATCACCAGCGCACTGCTCGCAGCACTCGACCGGGACACTAGACAGTACGATTGTCGAAACCAATGTCATCAGGGTAAAGGTTAGCTAGGAATCTGTCTATTTGTGCTCATCTGCGAAAGCGGTCGGAAGAGTTCCAAAAAAAACTTTGCGAGCTTAGGGTCAGCGGGAGAGTCTGGAAGTTTGCAGACCCCCTCGCAATTGGTCATGCTAACATTGGTAAAGTTGGTGCCGAGTTCAAGAATGCCGAGAGTGAATCTCGCACACATTGACCAGTACTGCTTGCTCGCGTCGCTCAGAATAGGCCGAACCCATTTTCTATCCTGAAGGCCCTTAACAGTCGCACGTAGGAACTTTCAAATTTTTTTGTTGACACAACTGAATCTCCATGCAAGTTTTGTGCGGTATGTCGAGGACTCAATTCGTTGGCTTTCTTTATTTCTCCGTCATCTAGAGCTAAGAGTCAAAGGCAAGGGATTAGCCGAAGTGGTTATACGAAGTTATACCACCTCCGGAAAGCTGCGAGTTCGATCCCTGCCGAGGCTCTAAACCATGCCTTGCAAAAATTGCAAAAATGGTTCTAGTACCAGCGTCAGGCCCAGGTTGACAGGCCGGCTGATGAATACCCCAGTCACACCAATCATGTCTAAAAGTTGTCAAAGAATCAGTGATAAAGCTAGGACGTCACCCGGAAGTGGCGCGCAGAACCCCCGCCCGAGTTCTGTGGTCAGTATGCGAGGGCTACCGAGGAGTGAACGGCCTCGGCCAAAGAAGCTAGTTCGAATAGGGACTCTGAACGTAGGATCGCTAACTGGGAAGTCCCGAGAGGTTGCTGATCTGATGACGCGCAGGAATATCCAAGTCCTATGCCTTCAGGAGACGCGATGGAAAGGTGCTAAGGCCAGGGAAATCGGGGAAGGTGTCAAGCTCTACTACAATGGAGAAGACACCAAGCGGAACGGCGTGGCCATAGCGGTAGCGGAGTCGCTCAAGGACTATGTCTCCGCTGTGAACAGGATCAGCGATCGGATCATGGCTGTGAGGATGGACACGAAGGAGGGGTACTGGTCAATACTCTCCGTGTACGCACCGCAAGCCGGGTGCCCCGAAAGTGATAAGGACGAGTTCTATCTAAGCCTGGACGAAGCCATAAGAATCGGTTCCGGAAGGCGATTACCTGACCGTAGCAGGTGATCTGAATGGCCACGTCGGCAGTGACAGGAGAGGCCGGGAAAGGGTGCACGGAGGTAGAGGGATAGGAGTGAGGAACCGAGGGAGGGTTCTGGACCTGGCTACGGCCCACGACTTGGCAGTCTGCAGCACGTTCTTCGCGAAAAGGGAACTCAAAAGGTAACCTACAGCAGTGGAGGGAGACAGACGGAAATCGACCATGTGCTGGTAAGAAGATCAACCCTCAAAACTGTGAAGGATATCAAAGTTCTACCCGGCGAAGATCTGGCTCCCCAGCACAGGCCCCTCCTGGCAGACATTGCAAGACCTCCCCAAGAAGACAAGGGTAAGAACCGAGAGGAGAATCCGGTGGTGGAAGCTGCACCAAGCGGAGAAGGATGACCTCAGGCGAAAGATAATGGAAGTCGGTCTCCCAGATCCTAACGGGCCAGTACAATGGACTTGGGGCAACGCGGCTGAGACCATCCTGCGATGTGCCAAGGAGGTCCTGGGTGAGACGCGAGGTGGATTCAGAGGAGACAAGGCAGCGTGGTTCTGGAACGAGGAGGTCCAGCGAGTCGTGAAGCAGAAGAAGGAAGCATACAAGCGCTGGCAGAAGACCCGGAGCCCCGAAGACCTCGCCACCTACAGGAGTTGCAAGAGGCTCGCTAAGGCTGCTGTCGCCAAGGCGAAGAACACGGAAATGGACGCCTTGTACGAGAAGTTGGAAGAGCAGAAA